TCATCTTTGCACAGGGGCCATGCTACTCTTCTCTGTATCATTCCAATTTTAGTATATGTGCTGCCAAAGTGAGAATTGAGCTTATTTTTATATTTAAATCTCTGATTTATGTTAATTTTTTTACAAGGTACAAGACTCATATTGAAATTCATTTTCTTTTGCTTATGGACGTCCAATTGCTATAACACCATTTGCTGAAAATACTTTTGGCTATTAATGTCTACAGTATATATAAAAATATTATTCCTTTCATTTCTCGTAGTGGCTATATACTCTTTCTCACTTTCATTTCTTGATCAGTTTTTCTTTGCCCCCCCTCCAAAATTTAACTCTGTTAACTTTTTTCTAATTAATGTTTATTTTCTATTTTATTTCTTCTCTTACTTTTATTACTTCTTTTTGTCACCATTTTGTTGATTTAATGTGTTATTCCTTGCTGGTTTCTTGGGATGGATACCTAGCTCAGACATTTCCTTTTCTAATATACAAAACTATAGATTTCACTCTACTTACAGCGTCTTGTATATACCATAAATTTTGATAGGCCCTATTGTCATAATTATTTCACTTAAAAATATGTTCCTATTTTCATTGCAATTTATTCCTTGAGCCATGAGGTAATTAGAAGTGTATAGCATAGTTTCCAAATATTTGTGGATTTCCTAGGGGGTTTTTTGTTGTTTTTGTTGTTATTGACTTTTACCTTATTTCGAGTGATATGAGAAAGCAAAGACTTCATGATTACAAGCTTTGTAGTTCACTTTTTGGCCCAGAACTCTCAGTAAATTTTCCATGGTACATGAGAATAAGGCATATTCTTTGCTGTTTAAGTATGCTATATTAATTTTGTTAATTAAGTCATGTTAAATATTTTTCAAATATTTTAGATCTCTATTAGATATTTGTTTAGTTATTATTTTCTGAGAAAATAGTTTTTAAAATAACAAATATAATTGTGGATTTTTCTGTCTTCTTTTTATTTTCATCAAATTTTGCTTTACATATTTTAGGGCATGTTATTGGGTGCATAAAATTTATCACAGTTACATTTTCCAATTATAAAATATGCCTATTTATCTCTCATAATATGTACTATCTTAAAGTTTGCTTTATCTGATATAAGAAAGCTACACTGACTTCTTTGGACTAGTATTTTCATTGTATTTTATATATATATATATATATATATATATATATATATATATATACATCTTCTGATTCTTATAATTTCAGTTTTTTTCTCATATTTAAGATGTGTCTCTTACAAGCACCATATAGTTGGGTTTGTTTTCAGTCTGATAATTTTTGGCTTTAAAGTGGTATGTTTAGTCCATTTGTTTTTAATGGAATTAATACTTTAGATCATAATCAGTATCTTAGTTTTTGTTTCTATTTGTTCTGTTATTTATTCCTATTTTCTTTCCTTTTGTTGCCTTAACTGGATCATTTCATTTCCTGCTCTGTAAGCTTACAAAAGATCATTTATTGTTTAATGGTCACCCTAAAGACTACAACATGTGTTTTTGACTTACTACTGTCTCAAATTACTAAAATCAGCACTTTTTCTAGATATAGGAAAGGAAAGGACCTTGAATTCCTTAACTTCACTTACTTTCTCTTCTGCTTTTTATACAATTGTTGTCAAATTTTAATTCTATATATATTTTAAACCAAAAAGACATTATTGTTATGACTTTTAATATTTTTATCCTTCCTAGTATCATTCATTTCCTTTTGCATGTCTCTACTTCTCATCTTCCCATTTCCTTTTTGCTTGCATAACTTCCTTCAGTATTATTTTATTGCTATAATAGACCTAGTTTGTGACTTTCTTTCTATTTTATCCTTCCTGGGGTTTGTAAAACATTTTGAATCTGTTGTTTCATATTTTCTATTACTTTACAAGTCACAGCCATTATCTCCTTGATATTTCTTCTGCCCTAATATCTTTCCCATCTTCTTCTAGAACTCTGATTTACATTAGGGGGGCACCTGGGTGGCTCAGTGGGTTAAAGCCTCTGCCTTCAGCTCAGGTCATGATCCCAGGGTCCTGGGATCAGACCCCTCATCACGCTCTCCGCTCAGCAGGGAGCCTGCTTCCTCCTCTCTCTCTGCCTGCCTCTCTGACTATTTGTGACCCCTTTCTCTCTCTCTCTCTCTGTCAAATAAATAAAAAATATCTTTAAAAAAAAAAAGAACTCTGATTTACATTAGGAAATTTTCATCAGGTCTCAAAAGTCTCAAGTTATTTTCTATATTTTTCCAACACTTTTTCTCTCTGAGCTTCAATATAAATGTTTTCTATAATTTTCTAGCCCCTTAATTCTTTCTCCTGCTCATAAACTTATCTGTTCATTTCCTAATCTCAGTCTGTATTTTTTTGTTCCAAAATTTCCATTTAATACCTTATTACAAATTCCAGTCTCAGGAGATATTCTTCATTTTTAATATACATTTTCCAGCATATTAATCATAATTATCTTAAAACCAATATCCTATGACTCCAATATATGGTCAGTCTGTGAGTTTGTATTTATTAATGATTGCTTTCTTCTTTGTTTAGCTAAGTTTACCATAATTTGGCCCTGCTTTTTGACATAACTGATAATTTTTTACTGGTTGCTGGACATTGTGCATGACAACTTGCAGAGGCTCTTCATGATGCTTTCTTCCTCCAGAGGAAGGAAGAAAATATCCAATTTTCTTTTGTTAGGCAGTTAAATATAGGCCACTGACTTTCTTTCACAAAGGGATTTAAGAGTGTTTCAGGCCGGATTTCAGGCTTTGTGTAATCTGGACTATCTCTGTTTGCTGTCACACAAGAGGGTCTCACAGCCCCTCCTCCGTGATAGGCCTCAATTCCAACTTTTTCTTCCCTCTACTATGAGACTTCTGAAACCATTGTTTGACTTTTTAATCTCTTAGAAGTTATTTTATACTTGTTTTCTTGGCTGCTGTCCCTGAGAATGCATGGGTTAGTAGTTAGCAAATATCTTAAAAGAAAATTATGAGCATAATATCAGGCTTTTTTGGGGATTTCTATTTCTATGGGAGTCTTGGATGACTTGAATGGCCTGACCTTTAATTTTTGTCTCCCTAGTAGTGAGACTTCAGCAGACTTTAGACTGCTCTCTGCTCTGCGTCTATTCTTTTCACTGAGAATTTGGCAATTTCCCTGAATGGAAAAAAACAACAGAGTTATACATAGAACTCACTTCAGTGCATTTTTCTTCTCACTGACATTGGGCCCTCAAATCCTTGTTGTCTTAGCTACTGTCTGATGTCTTCAAATAGCTTCCCCCCACCCTTGGTATTTTTATCCATTTTTATAGTTAAATGAATCTTATCAATGGCCCAGTTCCAACAAAGTTAGAAAACATTCAGTGGTCTGCTCTCACCCCAGTGGTTCTCACCGAAGGCCAAGACTTGTCTTCATAATGGCCAGGCAGATAGATCATTTCTAAAGGTTTTCAAACACAGATTCAGTTCCCAGTGATAGACCTGGGACTTATGAAAACCATAGCTGGGTAAACCTTGCTGTCAGAACCCCTTCATATATACACCAAAAAATGTTACCATTGGCCAATCAGATATGCACTAATTGGGGAAACTTGTCTACAGTGTTATATGCTCCTCTGCTACCATTGCTTTTGACGAGGATAAGTCAAGACACTCAAACTCACTATTAAATGGTTTATTCTTCTAGCCTACCAGGAAGGCTGAAATAACACATTTGCTTTCATCTAGAAAGCAACACTAACCTCACAAATTTCTGATTTCTCATGTACTCTAAGCTGAAAATACAAAATTAAGTGACAAAAGGGCTTCAGAGCCTTAAAACTGTATCAGATGCTGTAGAGTCATTGTAACCCAGCATACTAGCAAAGCATTCATTTGGATCACCACATGTTTAATTTTTTTATTGTGTCCTCCTTTACTTGGGATATGCAGCCTTTCTAAATGTTGACCTGATTCATTCCAGAGATTTTCAAACTCTGGTTTCCTCCTGAACAGCAATAATATTTTTTCATCTATTGCTAACCTACTGCTCATCTTCCTTCTTCCCCAATCCATGATACTAGTTGTCTTTTGGAGACTTGCTCATATTTTCTTTAATTATCAATTAAACATGTTCTGGAAGCCACTTCACAATGACCTCATTATACATGGATTTGACATATATAGCATTATGTGATCTTCCTTTAATTTATATCTCTCTGCTTCATATTTGATTACTAAGAAGATTCATTTTGCATAACCTTTAAAAAATCATTTATAAAGTGATTTCTAATCTCTATAATCACTCTTTCCAACAAGAAGATTCCTCCTTATTATGCTAGTTCAGTTTTAAAATACATTTTGATAGAATCCTATTCAAGACTCTTTGAAAGTACATATAAATTATATTGAATAATTACTCTTATCCACATTAACTAACTTAATGACTTAGTGGTTAACAATAGCAATAACACATTATTAAAGAAATTTTCTTTCTTAGGAATGTAGAGGTTCCACTCAGTATTAAGGTATCACCCTTTTCCTAGGTAAGGAGGCAAGCCCCACCTGCCTGAATGCTCCAGGATTTCCTCAGGAGCCCAATCCTGGATCATGGATCCTGAGGAGCCATGTATGAAGCCCACAGGTCTTCTGTCACATTGATTACCGTAAACTGGGTTTCACAGTCTAGCCATCTTCTTTACTAATTTTTCCCTTGAGGCTCTCCAAGACATAAAATAGATCTTATTACACATCAGCAATTTATTTACAACTAAATCATATATTTGTCTAGAACATCCTGAGTCTTTGCCATTCTAATACCTCCTTCTTGTCTATATTGAAACATTTGACAGATTCTTCCAAAAGCCATTCTCAGTCCAATGCAGCTAATTCATTGAGTAAATTTATTTTTCTCTTTCTTTCTTTTTTCCTCAAACTCATGTCACATAATCATTTGGGGCCTGCTCCATCTGTCTACCATATTTGGTCTTCACCTCACTTACCCAGGTGACTGATGGCTTCCTTGTCCCAAGGCCACGTGGCAGCACCGGCAAGGTCTTCCCGCACTGAGCTAGCAAAGTAGACATTGAGGAAGTGAGTACTGTTGAGCTGCAGTGCCTCCTTCAGCTCCTTCACACTCATATATGCCCTGGAAAGTACACAAAACAGAAATGTCACACCAAAGGATCAGTACATAGAAAGCAGGACCATACCTAATCATACTGACATTCCCAGCCAGCACTGCCCTTTAGAGGGGCAGAAAGACGGAGACCAGGCTGTCACGAAGATAACAAAAAAGGTACTAGTACACATTTGGGATATTTATTCCAAGATAAATAATATCTTACCTTTTTAGCACTATATTATTTATATGACTATTCAGTGTTTAATGTCATACTCAATTCCCATTCTACATCTATATTATTTCTTCAAGATAAATCCAATGATACTCCTAATTATTTGCCCTGAGTATTAATCCCAGGCCATGGTGAAGAAGGCCTTCCACCTTTCAGTTCCTGGTTCCTTCTATCACACTGCATGAACATTATTATGATCAGAAGACCAACTGAATCTCTATTTCAGTATATGCTTGTTTCAGGCATTATTTTTTAAAAAAACGTGGCTAGGAAACAAAGTAAAAAGAGGAAAAAACAGATGAGTTATAGGTAGAAGAGGATATCATAAAGTTACTACAAGAACTTTTAACTGTGTGTGTGTATATATATATACATATATGTATATATGTATATATCTTTCTTTATAGTGCCTTAATCCATAGAAACTACTCCAACTCCACTACCTTATGCTCTTTACTGAGTATCTCTACTGGTGGACTTCAACATACTAGGCAGTATTATGTTTGCACTTATGCACAGAATTAAAGGTATATTAAAACACATGCCATATGGCCCATAAAAAAAGGGAAACAAGCATTTTGTCTCTTTATAAGCTCATATATAGTCAAAGACCTTCATCTTCCTGGCATCAGTGAAACTTTAAATTTACCATAAGCAGACAGACTCACTCAACATTCTCACTGAAGAACTATTTTAAGAATGAACAACTAAAGCAGAGCTCAGTGGCCCTTTGGATTCACTGGATGTGACCATAGTCTGCCGCTCAAAAAGAGGAATATTCCTATAAAAGCTTCAACTGGGCAGACAGCTCCCTCAACGTTAGCTGGAAATTTCCTTTATAGATCATGCTTTATTGTTACTGTTCTGATAGACTAGCAGAAATCCAGAAGCTCATGTTAGGACAGCATGACCCTTCTTCTCTTGCTAGCTCTGCCTCCCAACCACACTGTTGACGCAATCTGTTTAATCCATATGTAGGATATACTGGCAAGGAGTACCCAAGAAATAGAGATCCCAAGGAAGATTGTTTTTGTATTCTTTGGAACAGAAGCAAAAAGGGGAATACAAGTTAAGAAACAAAAAAGATTCTGCTTTAGAACCAAAGATACTTGGGAGAAAAGATATTTAAAAATACTTTTTCATATTGACTTATAATATCTTGGAAAAATAGTTCTAAGCTCCAAGAAATCATCCAAATTCCATGAGGTGATGTCAGATGTCAATAGAGGGATATTCCTTCTGCTGCTTTCCTGGAGACACAATGTTTTCTGGACTGTTGCCTGGTTTTCCCTGGATATTAGTCACATTCTCTTTCCCTTTTTCTTTAATTAAAAATAATTACAATTTCCTCTATTGACAAATTGATGGTTTGGAGCTGTGATGACATCAAGTAATTCTTCAACACGGAGATGTAGTCCAGGAGAATGGAGAAGAGAGAGGGCAAATGGGAAAAGAGAGAAGAAAAGGAAAGGATGGGAAATGAAAGAAATAGAAAGGACAAATAAGGGCAGAGAGAATCAGAGACTGAGTCTACACACAAGTCAGGATACCAAGGAAGACAAGTCACACCCTTTCTCTGCTCCTATTCCAGATTTCCCATTAAAATTGGGAGTTGGTAACTTGATAGTTTTCTCTCTTTTCTCCTCCCTCACTTTCCCCAAATCCCCCAGTTTCTGGCATAGTTTATTTGGGCTATCTGTGTGTCACTGGCTTCTCCATCTGCCATTTACCAGTCTTGGCTGCCATCCTTCTGTCCTCCCTCCACCCAGCAGCTCCACTAATTTCCCTTGAGCACCCTCCAAGAGGCCTCCTCCTCCACCACCAACCTCATTAGCTGGTTCTACTCATCTCCCTTTTTCTTCTTTGCCCAACCCTCTCGCCAGCCACAAATTACCCTTCCAGATGAGAGTGTTTATGTCATGCTGGTGGCAAACTGGGTGTGGTTGCTCTGACTGCTGCACTCCACAGAGATACATGTAGACAGAAGTCAGCAAGTATAAGGAGGAGAACACATTTTTAAAAACTAGGGACAGTTGAAAACAGTCATTAATTAAACTGATAGAAGGAAACCTTATTTTGTTAGAAACAAAGACTTTTTTCTCTAATCTGAAAAGGGTAAAACTTAGATATCAGTGTGTCTCCTTTATATGTAGAATGCCCTGCCTAATACAAAATGTACACCTGTTCACAAGCTGATCGGACCTAACAAAGATAAACTTCTTACTAATGTGACCAGAGCCTGGCTTAGACATTGAGTGTGGAAAATGGACATTACTCTTAAATTCAGAGCTTTAGAAATGATTCATGAGGGGACAGACTTGACATCCAAAATAACTTAATAATCAAGGAAGGGGAAATAACATATGCAAATATCACAAACAGCACAAGTGTCTCGAACTAACCAGAACTATGTATGAAAAGGAAGAGGAACTGCATTAATCTGCTTATTTTCTGCTAGGATCTTCCTTTGCTCATACTCTCCATACTCTAGACTGAAGAAGTCCTCACCATGAATTTCTCCCTGAGGACCCAGGCTGACCAAAGTGAAGTTGTATTTTGATTTTTATAAAAACTGTCTTGGAAACAAGCTCTGCTTGAGACTGACATATGAAGTTGTTCCACCCAATGCTCAAGTCTGTTATTTCTGACATGGCCCCTGGAAGAATGCAGACTTGCCTCACCATTTTATGACTATGACCTACTGGGATTAACCACTACCTATATCCATCACCTGTGTTTCTTTGTCCCCCAGACTTAGTGCATTCATTTTGACCTATACCATGCTCCCTGACTGCTGACCCCCAGCCATGCTCCAGTGTCTAAGTGCACATGCAAGCCCTAACTTTTGCTTAGTTTCAGACTAAGTAAAAGTGAAAAAAATATTTAAAAATGACTATTTGTGCTCTAGCTTTATAGTCAGCTGAGTAAGTAACTCCTTTATAGATGGATAGAAATAATCGCAAGAATGGAGCCAGAAAGAAGCAAAAGATCATAAACTGTCGGAAGGACATTGAACCAGTATCAAAAACTGGCATGCTGAAAAACAAGACATAAAGGATGCTTGGGTGCCCAGAGATCTCAGAGAAAGTCCTCTCCTGAGGAAGACCCTGACTGTACTCTACAGGTGCAAGGCAGTCTCCATGACAACAAAACCAGATGCCCCCTAGAACCCTCAGGCGATTAGCCTTATGGAAACAATTAGCCAAAATTGGAATACTTTGGTTTGGTTAAATCAAAACCTTTCTGTTGTTACTGTATACCATGGTTATCTACCCAACATGCACAGAAGGGGTCCATCTGCTACTCGATCTACTATCTACTTTGCCAACCATGCTTCCTCCTCCTTGTGAATATCACCTTTGACCTGCTCTCCCAACCCTTTCACTATGCTCACACCATGGAGCTTGTCAGTCTGCAGAGTACCAACCAGCTCTCTCCCTGTACCCAGTACAACTTTAAAAACTTAGTTTTTCTCCTTCTCTCAAATTCCTCCCGCTCTTAGGTGCCTGGCACTCTACTACATCCCCTTACACTTTACTCCTCTTTTTATTTTCCCACCTCCTGGTTAGTTCCTACACCTCAAGAGTTCAGTGCCTTGCCCACAGTCTTCTCCTTCCCTACCTCCTATCATCCATTACTTAGGAAATTTCAACATCTGTGTGAAACATCACTGAAGATGGTCTGCTTTTTTAATTTCTTACCTCCAGTTGTCCCCATACCTCATATTCATGGTCACCCTTACTCATAGTGGTTTTTATTCTTGATCTCCTATAGATCTTTAATTCTACTTGTGTATACTTTTACTTGTTTATGGTCACCTCCTCTCCAGGAAGGATTTGAGATTACCATTCTTCTCTTGCTCCTCCTCTCCCACAACCTCAATCTCTTATTGCCCTGACTCTTAGTAAATGATCATGCTTCCTTCCTCAATGATGAAATTGAAGACATTCATCAGAGACTCTAACACACACATATACAAACACATACACACACATTCACTTCCTTACCTATTTTTGTGCCCTTATCTCTGGTCCCACAGGATGAGGTTTCTAAGAAAATCATAGCTTCCTTCTCCCTTTCCAAATCAAACTTCTTGAAAGAATAATTTTTCTGACCTATTCATTTCTATTTTCCATGTATCCCCTAATCCCATTATAACCTGGCTTTCATGGGTATCAGTTTATCAAAACTGCTTTTGTTAAAATTGTCAGTGACCTCCAAACTGTCCCTCCCCACAAAATGAAAAAAAAAAAATTCAGTTACCTTCTTATGAGAATTCTTTATTGCATTTTAACATTTAGTTACTTCCTGCTTCTTAGTTTTCTACTTCTTCTGCTTTTTTTTTTTTTTTTTTTGCAATGTTCTTTTTTGGTTGTATTCTTGCTTTTGAGTTCACTCTCAAAAGGATTCCTCTTTCCCCTTCTAATCCTTAAAAGTTATTCCCCAGGATTCTGTGGTCTTGTTTCTGATACATTCTTTTGTCATGCTCCTTGTTCACTATTGGGAACTCTTCTACTGTTAAACCTTGAAGCACGATCAGTCCTTGGATATATACGTATGTATGTATGTATAGAACTATAGATTAGATTCTTTCTCTTTTATGTCAAGACATCTCCCCCTAGATCACACACAGACATCTTGAGGTCAAAATGTCAATGTATTGGGTGGTTCTATCTGAGCACAAAAGAAATTTCAGTGAACCTGAAATAGTGGTCTAACCAATGAATATGTGGACATCTTTTCCACAGACAGATAACACAGGAAGGATTGAGTTTTGGCTAAACACAGAGAA